TGCAGAACTAAATAAATCAGAGATCCTCTTTGATATCAAACTCTATTGCAAACAGTTTTTGGTATTGATTTAGCTTTAAAGAATTTCAACTACTTGTCTAAGTAAATCCTTCATGGTTCTAGGAAGGAAGCTGGTATGTGCACTAAAGAAACAAGTATGGACCAGCTATGGGATAGAATAAAGTAGAGAGAGGGGAGAATAATCTGTTAAAATAGAATAGCTTGAAATGCTTTTTATTTAAAAAAAAAAAGTAGAAAAAGCATAAGGCCTAAAGGGAAAGATAACTGGACTACTGTAGAGCTGACCAAGGAGGAGAGTGAAATAATTAGCTCTGCTAAAGGAAAAGGCTGAAAGTGGATACTGTGGGAAGGATTGTGTTTAGTTTTAGCAGTGTATGAAATACAAAAGATTCGTTTGAGTTTCTAATTATTTACTGAGCTTTGTCTGTTCATCTTTACAATCAGCATTGTCTAAAGTGTTAAGATAAACATGAGGTTTTTTATTTTCCTTTATATCTGAGTGTGGAAGTGAGTATGGTTTAATCTTAATCATAAATAAATTGTACTATGTGAGTGTCATTTTGTTTGTCTCCAGTGGGCTTGTGCAGCATCTTATCATTAACTCTGGAGTGGGAAGTAAAATCTTGACTGACAAGTCTGGAGGTTAAAAAGAACTGTGAGTTGCAAGTGAAACCGGAACCTAGATCCATGAATGGCTTACAGTGAACCAATCCAAGTCAGGAACTGCCTTCAGCCCTGATGGCATAGCTATATAGCTTTAGCTAAAGGACACTGGCAGCCCTGCAGTTTCTGATTTGTATTTACTTTATTTTAATTTACTTGATCAGTACCATTATATGGTAAGGCAGAGTAGGTTACTGAGATGTAATTTATATATGCTTCCTAAATTTTTTCTCTGAAGCTTTTTTCAGGAAAGAGGTTGTTATTTTTCCATAAAGGGATTGCCAGAAGAAGCTTCATTCTTTCTTCATTCTAGAGAAAACGGAAGCAAATATTTCAGTAGCAACAGACATAATCAGGGAAAGGAGAAGTGAAGAAAGTCTTAATTCAGTCCCTGATAAAGTTATGGAATGTATCCTCCTGGGGGCTATACAAATTAAATGAAGTTTGTGATTGGGAAAGTCAGCATGAGCTCACCAAGGGCAAATCATGCTTGACAAACCTGATCACCTTCTACAACAAAATAACCTGCTTGGTTGATGTGGAGTGAGAGGTGGACATTGGCTACCTGGATTTCTCAAGGCTTTTGATACAGTACCCCACAGCCTCCTCCTAGAGAAACTGATACGTTACGGTCTAGACAAGTGGTCTGTGTGGTGGGTGGGGAACTGGCTGCCAGCCCGCACCCAGAGGGTGGTGGTGAACAGCTCTTTTTTTCAAACTGCCAACCTGTCACAAGTGGGGTGCCCCAGGGATCGATACTGGGTCCAACACTGTTTAATCTCTTAATAAGTGACCTGGATGATGGGATCAAGTGTGCCCTGATGAAGTTTGCTGATATACCAAAGTGAGTAGACACTTTGGAAGGGGGAATCACCCTACAGGAAGACCTGGATAGGCTGGAAGAGTGGGCTAACAAGTACCTTATGATGTTTAACAAGAACCAAGTGTAAGGTCTTGCACCTGGGAAGACATAACCGAGGAGTGCAGCACACACTGGGATCTACCCGTCTGTGTTCAGTTTTGGTCCCTGCTATACAAAAAAGATGTGGACAGGCTGGAGAGGGTCCAGACAAGGGCCGCAAATATGATCAAAGGGCTGGGAAGCCTGACATACAAGGAAAGGCTGAGAGAATTGGGTTTGTTCAGCCTTGAGAAAAGGCGGCTTAGGGGAAACCTTATCACCCTGTTCCAGTATTTAAAGGGTAACTACAAAAAAGATGGAGATTCCCTTTTTACAAGGAGTCACATGGAAAAGATGAGTTATAATGGGTACAAGTTACTCCTGGGGAGATTCCAACTGGACACAAGAGGGAAATTTTTCACAGTGAGAACATTCAGCCACTGGAATGGCTGAAGGGAAGCCTCAGGGAAGTGTTGATTTCCCAAACACTGGACACTTTTAAGACTCAGCTGGACAGGGTGCTGGGCCATCTTGTCTAGACCAGGCTTTTGCCAAGAAACGTTGGACCAGATGATCACTGAGGTCTCTTCTAGCATGGTAATCTATGTTTCTGTGAAGTTGTTGAAGGAATCTGCTTCATGATGAAGCCTTTTTTTTGTCCAGTGTAATAGTTCTGGAGAAGAAAATTAAAATGTATGTTGTAAGGAGTATTATAGAGAAGTGTAAAAAAAAAAAAAAGATGAAATAGCCAAACACATGTAAGCACACCCACAAATCACTTGAGTCACAGCAGGGACTAAGTACAAGCCTGGATTTAAAAAAGACCCAATTTCCCTTTCTCCATCTTTGTGTATATGTGGTTAATTAGTCCAGTCATAGCACTTTGGAGCCAGAGAGCATAAAGACTTTCCAGGTGCTGGCTCTGGTAAGGGACAGTTGGGTTTGGGTGCCATGCTGGGGGGTGAGGGCAGCAGGTGGCTTGGAAAGGGCAGGTGAGGCAGAAGCTGAGGGTGGTGCAACAAGTATGGAGGGGGTCAGACCTGGGGATGGCCGCCAGGCTGGCAGGAGCCTGGTGGTCGGGTCTGTGGTGGGAGAGGGAGGCCTGAGATCACTGTGAGGCAGGTAGGCAGGTCTGTGGTCAGCATCCCAGGATCTGGATCGACTGGGTGCCTAACCAGGTCCAGGCATGTCTGCAGCAGAGAGGTAGCAAAGCTTGGGCAGGGGCCAAGGACAAGAGGCTGAATTTAAGTGGGCAGGCCCAGAGCGGGGCTGTAGCTCCCTTGCTCTTTTGAGCACACGAGCTGCACAGGGGAATGTCCACAGCACTCTGACATACTAGCAGAAGTGAATTTCATAGATTTTAAAAAGCATTTATCAAGTAAATGACAATTTTTCATGTGAAAATCTGGACAAATTTCACAAGGGCTGTTTGACGTTATGTAGAATTCTGAAGAATCTGGCAAGTGTAGGTTACAGATTGCACAGACACCACTACTGGGGATGCTTGTGTGTGCAGCACTTATAAAGTGCAGGAGAAACATCAGCCTACTTAATGATAATTTTTTTGTAGCAAGGTATTCGTGTTTTATTTTAGAAACACTGACTGTATTGGAGTTGCTTCATTCTGGGATTATTTTAGAAGTGCTGGGTTTTTCTTTGTTAATGATCTTTTTTCATAGTAGATTTTGCAAGGCATTCCTATTTACTTGTTTGTACAGCTTGTTTCTCTGTGATTAGTTATTCTAATAGTGCTTTAGGTCTGGAATGGTGTTGCACCTTGCATCTGTATTGAAAAGACTTTTATTAAATCCAGTTATATGACATGACAATTCTGTATGTCCATGTGTTTCCCTCAGTAATAAGGTTGGTTGAAAGGTGTAACTTTGGTGCTTAAGCCTGTTTTCTTTTTTATGTGCAGAACTAAATTTGGAGGTGAAGATGTCTTCCAGCCAGTTGTTTACCAGGGCAAATGTCTGTTTAGGTCTTCCTTGGTGTTTCCTACAGTTCCTTCCCAATGAAGAAAATTGTATTGATTGTCTGGGTTTGAAATCTCAAAGTTATTTTAGTTTTTAATGCTTGCAGGAATGGATTTCCATCTTTTCTAGGCATCTAGGAAGAGGTTTCATGTTAAACCGAGGTAATTTGGTTAAAAGAGACACCTACTTTACTTGTTAAGACACAATCTGAATATTACACATAAGATCCACTGGCAGTTCATTATGATAAGACTGACAACTAATTTTTTCAGAAGCTAAAACAGCTATTACTTTATAGTGAAAGTATGCTAATTGGTACAGTCATGCTGTGGTTAAAGATCAATAATTCAGTGAAGAGAATAGATGCTCTTATTTAAAGGAATTCACAGTTATTTTATTGGAAAGCCATAGCTGAAGATTGAAATTTCTAAACACAGAAGTGTTTGTCAGCTCCTGCTGCTTAACATTTTCTTTCAAGAGGACATCCTGGAGTACAGATGCTTTGATGTGGTAGTAAACGTTACCATAGCTAAGGCTGGAGACTCATTCTTGATTTTTGATTTTAATTTTAATTTAACTGTCATAAATCTGATGCTGTTGTCTTCAGCTGAACTGATGTGGGATTTATATGGATATATAAAAAAATAAAAATTCCCTGATCTTGTGAAATGTTTTTTCAACTAAATTCAAGAGGCTATAAATAGTCTTAATAGTATGTTTGAGGCACACAATTTGAAAATTGTTCACCCAGTCAGTTTTTGCATTTGGGTTCTTATTTAGGTAGAAAGTTTTGTGTGGTTAGAGTGCATGCAGCACATTGGATTTTGGCTACTATATTATAAATACAGTAAAATAAATGCACATGCAGTGGTTATATAGGTAGAACTTCAAGAAAAAATGAGGAGCAATTATTCTCTTTCAGGTATTTTATAAATACTGCGTCAACCAGAAAGAAAAAGTATTTAGTAGGAAATTACTGACATCCATCTCTGAACTATCCTGATTTGCATTGAGATTTCGGATCCTTGCTTTGTATAAAAGCACCACTGTTATATTGCTTATCACAAAATTTCCTAAATACACAGCAGCACTCTTCACTGAAGATCTGGATAGCCGAGTCAGTCTCAAAGAATGTATACAAGCAATAACTCTCCTATGGCTGTTTGCTTGCTTTTACCTTACAGAAAGAAGCTGAAAGGGAGAAGTGATATTCACTAGTGGAGCTGAAGGCTATCAATAGAGAGACTTAATTTTTTTCTTGTCTTTAAATTTAGTCATTACCTTCCAGTACAGAGCATCCTCGCTAACTAGCTAATTAAAGCTGGTTTTTTAGATGTATTTTTTTTGTTTTGTTTTCTTCTTGCTATTTTCCCATTTTGCTAGTGTGCAGATGGGGGTGGGGAGTGGGAAATAAGGGAGAGAGCATGTTCCAGAGGATGCCAGGATGACTTCAGTTATTGGATGATTGCTGTCTGATGGATGGAAAAAGGAGGAGTAAACCTTCCAGTCTGCACTGACGGAGCTGAAACACAGAAACCCGATTTACAGGTAAGGGTGAAAAAAAACCCCAAACCTGTTCTGAATATCTGTTCTTGATCCTTGCCACAACATTTCTTGGGTATAAAAAAATGCATGTGCAAGCATCTTGTTTGTTCCTCGTTAATGACTTTGAAGCAGCTTTTCATGTTATTTCTCCTGCCTAGCAGGTTTCAACTGATGTGGGATCCATAGACAGTAAAATCATAAGCATGCCTGATGCTATCTGACAACTTTCTCATGTGACAATACAAGCATTGCATTTCGTTGATGCTGAAGCTGTTCAGTAAGCTGTAGGAAGAGAGGTCTTTTGTGTGATGGAAATACTCGCTGTTGAAAATACAGTGTATGCTACCAGCAGGAAAATAGTGCTGTAGGATATAAAAATGTTTTCTTTGAGTTTGGATAGAAAAAGGATTTACAAATTAACTGCTTCTAAAACTGTATGTATTTTTATTTAGTGTTGAATATACAGTAAGAATGGCTTCTCGGAGCAACTCTTAAAGGGTTCTGTGGATTTTTGCATTCTTTTTAGGTTTGGAATGAATGTGGTTTATAATTCAGTCACAAAATTGTCATAGAGAAAAAACATGATGCATATAATTAAATAATGTGTACAAGACAGATAGATCTTGTAGTACTTACATACCAGTTTTAATAAACTGTTGAAATAGCTTGTATGAAACCTGTTCTGCCGAGTTTGCATGTTGTTAGTAGCTGTTACTTCACAGACACTGGAGATGGCAAGTAGCAAATAACTTGGTACAGAAAATAGATTTGTTTATCAGGCCATATTATTTGAGGATATAGGACTACAGGCAGAAGTCCTGGCCCTACTGAAAGAATTGGAGATTTTTATATTGACCTCACTGGGGCAAGAATTTCAACATGTCAGCTGTCTATTGACTTATTTTTACACTTTACGTGTAGAAATTGTTATACTATACGACTCTGTTTTTGTTGGTTTGAAGCAGAAATCTTCATTGAAATAAATTAAGTGTTTGAGAATATATAGTCATAAAAAACATTTATAAGGCTAAAATACTGGAATTAAGTTTGAATAGATTTTAATCTCTGAAATCAGTAAACGTGTGTATCCGTTTTTGTTGAACTCATTGAGTGAATTCCTTTATAACAGACGTAAATTATTAAAGAAAAACTGGACAAAGTCAATAGAACTCTTACTGAATACTAAAGACAACTGGAAGAAGCTTTGTCCTCTGTCCACTTGTTTATACACCTTACCAGCTGTAAGCATCTGGAGCAGTGTCCCTTTCTCCTAGCTGTTTTTTCAGAGAAAGGAGCCTGATATGTTTGCTAAACAAACAATCAAAAAATTAATAACTTACAGCAAATGTCAGCAACTTACAAAATTATTCTAAAATACTGACAAACTGGTTTGTTTGGTTTTTTTTTAATCCTGGAATGTGAACATTGGTAAATAATACTGATGGAAAAATGAGTTGCATTCTAACGCTTCTTATTTGTAGGGGATATATCTGAAAGCATAAGCACAACTGTTAAATTAAAATCTCAAATCTGTGTATTACAATCACTTTTTTCTCCCCTCAAATGAGAAATCTGGTTCAAAGCAGCTTCAGTAACAGAGAGGAGATGATGAAAACAGAGATCAAGTTCCACATGTATTTAAATTATTCTGTCTCCTTGGAAACGCTGCTGCTGCAGATGGATTTGGCTTTTGGTGGCTAAAAATACCTACTGCTTAATAATGACAGCATGAAAGATACTGAATAAAACTACTGTGTTGTCACTAGTTTTAAAGTTCCCTAATGATTCAGGTATGCTACATGAACTACAGATTTGCATTTTCTGTCCAGTATTCCCTATCAGCTGCTGCCAGCACTCACCAGCTCAGTGGAAATGAGATAAGCTCATTAGCCTTGGTTGGAGACCCTACTGAGAAGGGAGTGTGTGAGTGGGAGGTAGGCTAGACAAAGAGTTTGAAAGCAGGTAGAAAGTTGGAAAAAGAAGTTCATGGTGGTGGTGCGAGTATGTGTGGTGTAATATTTGGGGATACTTCTAGGAAAGTCAAAGGGAAGAAGAGTATGCTTAAGCCCTGCCTTTGTAAGTTAAAAATTTGTATATAAAAGAATGTCTTATTATTAATTACAGAATATTCCTTATCAATTGTATGTGTAGGTCATTGAAATATCACACAAACTATTTTAAGTCAAATATTAAATTACCTTAAACTCCAAAACTTAAATTGCTAAAGCACCCGGTGTGAGCAAGAAATGGCATTACATTACTTAGCATTACAAAGAAATTCCATCCTTTAAAGAATTATTTTCAGTTAGGAAGGCATAGCCACTTTTTTTTTTTTCTTAAAAATCCAGTCGTTTATTATTTATTCCCTTCACATATCACACCTTCTTTTGTTGTTAGCTGATAGTCAGTATATATGGAAAATACTTACATTTTTTTGATCTCTCCTTCATGTTCATTGGATTACTTCCTGCTTGTCCTGCTTGTGTCCAGAAAACAGAACAAATGACAAACATTTCCTCAGTGCTGCATGGTGGGCTAAATATACCTCTTATTTTATTTTGTTAGTATTTGCATGTTTTGTTGCAGCATAGATCAAAATTGCTGGTTAGTTTTCCATTATTGAATGGGGCATTTTCCTGTTGTGCAGTGTCTTAAAGACAACATTAAAGTATTACAAGGTATTGTCACATGTATAAATAATCCTCTACAAATTAATACTAAAATCTATTTTTAGCTGGCAACACAAGTACCAAAGGTCATTTGAAGTAAAAGTTGAAAATTTAATTTTGATTAATTGAAATTAATAAGAGGACAGGAGCTGATATTTTTCCTTCTATAAGAGACTATTAACATATTAATAAGGCAGATTATTAAATGAATTATAGAAACTTTTCTATGAGGACAATAAAATCTAATCATAGCAGGCTGCCTTATTGAGAATAATTTGTATTAATATGAGTGAAACTGAGTTGCTTTAATTTTAAAACCCCCTTTCCTATAGTATAGAATTTAAGATTCAGTGGAGATAGTAAGTAAATCTAAACATTATTTGAGGAAATTAAGGTATGATAAGTTGCTGGCAGTAGCATTTGTGTGTTTCATGGTGGTAGTCAAGTTGTGCCAATTTGACATGAATCCTTTGATTACTGGATATAGAAGCAGAAGTTCTCATCTGCTGAAAACAGTAATGAGAAAGTTTGTTGCACATGGCCTGCCATTATGTCTAGGTTTTGGAAGATAGTGTTGGTAACACAGAAAGTACTGCTGTTTTGTGGTTTCTGTGTTGTTTTGTTTTGTTTTTTAAATAAAAAGTTGCAGGCAGATGAGCTGAGGCTTTTGCCAGTCTAGGTTTTTCCAGCAATTTTCATTGTTATTTGTTCATGCCTGGAGAGAGTTCCGTGCTATACAGCTAGACCATGTAGGTAAAGTCAGACTATCTTAACACACTTGTCGCTCTCGAAAAAAAGCCCCAACTCTCTGTTCATCTTGTTTCTAAACGCTAATCTCCTAAAATTAGACAATTTTTTATAATGTCACATACAAGTAGTGCCATTATTGTCAGTAATTATGGTAAGAGCAAGTTATGAAGGATTTGGTCTTTTGTTACATACAATTTGCATCTACACTCTCCTGTACCCTGTCAGAACCACACATCTCCCCCTCTATACATAAACCATTAAGCTGGAAGAATTTCCTCATGTCCTTTCAGATAAAAGAGGAAAACCTAGTTCAGAGTTACTTTTGCAAGTATAATCCAGTACATTTTTCTGTCACAAGTTCATACTGTATTTCTTGGAGCTCAGATGTTCTGGTTTTGGGGTGTTGGGATTTTTTGAGGGGTTGGATTTGTTGGTTTTGTTGTTGATTTTTTTTTTTTTGGTTGGTTGTTTTTTTTGAAACTGTTCATCACTACAGATTTCAGAGGAGACAATGACTAACCCTGTGTCAAGATGCAGAGATGGCACAGAAGGGGAGGACTGCTGAATTGATGCTCTCTCTGCTGGCTTTGGTGGCAGTGGTGAATGAGCAGCCAGGCTGTGTGTTAAATAGCGTGCAACAAGGAGCTAAGTAGCACATATCAAGGCTGTAGAGGTGTGAAGGCCCCTTTAGCATATACTGATCTTGACCATGTTGTACTTTGTCAGGAACATACTGAGATATACAAGATATCCTACCATGTTATGTAGTTCCTCTGCAGGCAGTTGTGAGGAACTGAAGGAGTTAATGCCTCAAATATTCATCCAACTGTTTGCTGTACTGATCTTCTAAGGAGGAAAGCTAAACACTGGCTCTAGTTTGATACTTTGTATAAACGATGCAGGCCTTGGACTGTGCTTGAAGAGAAGGCTAAAAGACCTATAATAAGGGAACATCTGCCCCAGAAGAAGCCAGAGGCTGGATGGTTGGCTGAGAAGTGTGAAGACAGCGAAAACCAGTGGTAACTGGGGTAGAGGTAAAGGTGTCAGGGAGAGATCATGACCACTGTCTCAACTGGATAAAAGGGTTGATTGCACCCCATCCCCCCTCAACACATGCACAGAACCCATGCTTCACCTTTCCTCATGTCTCATGCTGATGAGTTCATGGAAAACCTGCCTCTCATCGTGTAGTATGCAAATCAGCTGATAAGACAAACTTAAAAAGGTGACAAAAAACTTTGCTGGGTGTGCACCCACCACCCAAGATTACTGGACCTGAGACAATGCTGGAACCTGGGGTGGTGTTCTATATTCTTTGATTTCTCTTTCTCTCCCTTTATTTTCTTCTCCCTCCTTTCCTACAGATTTATCAAGATGAGACTACTTTGCTTACTATCCTTTTCTAAGTTTGTTTCTGCTGCAAGTAAAAAATTTTAAGCAGTCATTTGGTGTCATTTCACCTTAATTTAACCTGAAGAGATCATGAAACCTTTAGAACTCCCTGGGCTCCTAGTCCGAGATATAACAGCAGTGCACAAGACTCATGTTCATGAAAGAACAGTGTGGAAGATAAGTACTAAAATA